GTTAATTAAGTGACCTTGGATTGATACTTTTAGAGTATATAATTATTAATATATACTTTTGCATTTTTAAATTTAATATGTTGTGATCTATGTCATTATTCATTTCAGTTATTGGATTGTCCAGATTTGGCAAGGAGGAGCCCTTTCAAACTGGCTTCCGTGCCTTTTAATTTTTATTTATTTTTATTTTTTTAGTTGTATAAATGTATGAGGTACAAGTGTAATTTTGTTACATGGCTGTCTTGAGACATGATGAAGTCAGGGTTCTTAGTGAATTCATTATTCGAATAATGTACATTGTGCCAATTAAGTAATTTCTTATCTACCCCCGCTAGGCCCTCCTTCCAAATCTCCATTGTCCTGTCATTCCACACAGTTATCTATACACATTATTTAGCTCCCACTTATAAGTGAAAGTATGGTATTTGTCTATCTGAGTTGTTTCATTTAAGATAATGACCTCCAGTTCTGTCCATGGTGTTGCAAAAGACGTGATTTCCTTTTTTTAATGGCTGAGTAGTATTCCATTATGTATATATACACACTTTGTTTATCTGATCATCTGTTGATGGACACTTAGGTTGGTTTATCTTTGCTACTGTGAGTAGTGCTGTGATAGAGATATGAGTACAGGTGTCTTTTTGTGCCATTTTATATGTCCATATCAGTTTTTGAGTACCTCCTAGGTCTGGCACAAGATAGCCCAGGCTCACCTTGTACTTTCACTGCCTGAGAGCTAGAAGCAGCCATTTCTCCAAGCAGCTCTAATTATTTTTGTGAGGGAATGATACTTAGAAACCTAAGTCCTGCTGTGTCTGCTACTGGAGTGTCATTGCTTTTAAGCCCTTTTTGGACAGAGCTCTGTGTGTGTGTACTTTTCTTTATGGTTATCGGTTTGATATGTAGTTAGCTTTTTTTCTATTTTAGGTAGGGATTTTCTGCTAATCCTTGTTGGTTTGTTTTTATTTTTGAACATGTAAATCATGAACATTATTTCAAAAGTCAAAAACTTTATTAAAAGGTACACTCATGAGTACTGTCTTCCCCATGTCTTTTACCACATTCTCGCTATCTGTAGATAGCATGGTGTAAACCTTAGGTTGGAGTTTATGCTTCTTGCTTTTCTTTTTTGCAGATATGCATATACATGCATTCTTATTTATCTTCTTTGCACAACAGCTAGCATTGCATGTTTGCATTGCATTTTTTTTTAACTTAATATAGCTTGGTCATCACTCCATATCAGTTCATAGAGACCTTCCTCATTTCTTTTTTTGTTTACAGCTATGTAGTACTCATCGTGTGGATGCACCATGGTGTATTCACCACATCTTATTTGTAATAACTTAAATTGCCTCCAGTACTGTACTGTTTCAAATAGTGCCACAGTAAATTATTGCCATATGTTTTTTTGTATTGTAGGGGACACACCTTCAGAGTACATTCCTAGGTCTGTGCCAGGAGATAAGTACATATGTAGTTTGGTTAGATATTGCCACATACCCAGAAATGTAGAGGTTGTACAATTTTGCCATCCTACCAGCAGTGTATGAAAGTATTGATTTGCCCACAGCCTCACCAGCAAAGTGTGTTGTTAGTCTTTTTAATTTTTGCTGACCTGGGATGAGAAATCATACCTCAGTGTAGAGATAAAGTAGAGCCTAAGGAGAAAATACAGTTTGTGCAAGAATCACCCAGATTTCTAGTTAAGAACAGTGAATGAAACGTGTTTCTCTCCTTCCCCCAAACCCACTAAAATGAGACTAAATGAACATAAAGAACTTGAAAGGAAAATGCTTCTTTTATTCAAATACCACAGTTTTAAAATTTGTTTAAGGAGCCTTTGTGTATCTTTTGTTAGTACAATGTCTGGTTAGAACTTTTGTCCATTTTTTCTAACAGTATTTGGGTTATTTTCCTTAGTTTTAAGAGTGCTTTATATAGATGTTTAACTTAGGATTTTTGACTTTATAATGATGTGGAGGTGATATATATTCTGTAGAAACTATACTTTGAATTTTAATCTTTTTCAGGGCTAGCAATATACATTATGATACTCTGGTAGTGCTGGGCCAAATATCTCATGTAATTTATTGAATACTGTATTGAAAGTGTTCTGAGCATATTTGAGGTAGGCTAGACTAACCTATGATGTTTGGTAGTTTAGGTGTGTGCATTTTCAACTTATGATACTTTCAATTTACCATCCTAAGTCAAGGAGCATTTGTATATTAAGGATATTGTCCTTTTGTTTTTGATATACATTGCAAATATTTTAAATTTATTTGTCTTTTGAATTTGCTTCTGATGTGTTTAGCCATGACACCTTTATTTTTCTTTTATTGCGTAATGCCTAAGAGATGCCCTAAAAACACTGACTGTAAGCTTTATGTGCAAAGATAGGGCTTATTAGTAGGCAAGGATATTGATGTATCATTCTGTGGGACCTTTTGATTTAAGAGAAGAATCTACCAATTTCTTAATGAATAGAGATGGAAGCTGTGGAGTGGGGCCTTTTTCAGTTCATAGATCTTTGTTTATTCTTCTGTTTTCTTCCCTGCCCATTGCTGTGCCTGGTATTCTCAGTTCTGAATATTCTTTGATGGTTTTTGTTTTTCCACAGTAAATCTCCATCCTCATGCCGTAGTTGGGGTGTGGTATTTGCTTGGATCTGTTTTTTATTCAGGCTTTCAGTCAGTCTAGATTTTAGCCTCATGAATCACTGTTGTCTTGGGAAGTCATGAAGCTCCAGATACCTGAGTCCTTTGGGGATTATTTAATGAGAATTGGCTTACTTCTGCAGACCCTCAGGATCTGTGTTTGCTCGGTGCCATTGATGCTTTCATTTATTTATTTTTTTCTCATTTACTGCCGACTTCTCTCAAGTTCTTCTTTAACTCATCTAAAAATTTTATTTATTTTCATTTCAGCAGGTTTTGGAGGGGAGAAGAGAGAAACATGTGTTTCATTCACTGTATGTAATTAGAAACCCAGGTGGTTCTTTGTACTTACTGTTTTTCTCCTTAGGCTCTACTTTGTAGGCAGTTGGATGGCTCTCAAATGAGGCTTTTTAGGTTCACAATATTGCTCTTTTGATTTAAGTTTGTTTGCCCGTACTCAGATGATTCTGATGATTCAAATCAGTTGCCTCTTGCCCTCTTTTATGCTAAGTTTAACTTCTGGGAAGCAAATTTTTCAAGTTTCAAGGCAAGAATTCGTTAGTTCATGCTTAAAATCTGGTTGCAGTTTTAAGATCTCTTTGTTTTCTCCCCATAGTTGATGAGTTTCATTGTATTCTATGTAGCCTGTGTTTGGCCATTACAGCTTTTTTGTAGTTTCATTTTTAGGGGTGTCTAATCTTTTGGCTTCAGTGGGCCACACATAAAATACACTAACAATAGCTGCTCAGCTTTAAAAAAAAATCACACGCAAAAAAATCTCATAATCTTTTACGGAAGTTTACGAATTTGTGTTGGGCCACGTTCAGGCCATGGGTTGACCAAGCTTGTTTTAATCGAATCCTCTTTCCTGTTTTTCTTCTTTCTCTTTTTGGTGGTTTTCAAGAAGTTGAAGTAAACATACCTTTTTTCCTTTCTTTTAAAATGCATTTAATACAGTTTGAAAAACATTGTCCAAAATCATATATTTCATTTAGGAAATTGAATACCTGGAGGAGTAGCTGTGCCAAAACCTTTTTCCCAATCCTTATAACGTTCAGCATGAGGTTTGATTCTCCTTTCACTCATTTGGTTGCAGCGAGTTTCATGTCACAGTGAAGGGAGGACAGTTCCTGTGAGAACACATGTGCTGGAACTAGAGAGTTGCCAAAACGTCTCTTTCACCACCTGTCTTACTAGTTGTCTCTCCCAGTGCGTCTGCTCCTGTCTACACTTTAGCTCCGTCATCTTCATGTGGCTTTCTTTCCTGTGCTTGCCTAGTTTCTGTTCTCTCCTAAGTTCAGCTTACACCTGAGCCATCATGGACACTCCTCTTTTACTTACTTTTGGCGTTTCTGCTTAAGCTCTTTACTGCTGGCCAATATAGTCTCTCATTGTTTCTTAATCATATTTCCAAGAAAAAAAAAAAAGAAAGATTGGCCCAGGCCATCTTTTTGTTCCACTTCTGATTTGTGCCTAGCCAAACTATAAATTGGCTGTCTGGGTTCAGGTATCCAAACAGCTTAGGATTGTCACAGGAGGGAACAGTAGAATCATGGTGTATCTGAGGACTGCCTAAGCAACAAGGAGGCAGGGGTGGGGTAGTTCACCTTGGTACGTGAAGGGGCAGAATAGAGCTGAATACATCAAAGAGTTTGTTTCTCTGTATGTCAATTTATTTTTAATGGAGTACTTAGGCAAATACTTAGTACTGCAGATTGAATCTTATAGGAAACTAGCTAATTTTTAAGTGTTAAAATTCACTGCAAAAACCTGCACCCTGATCTGATGGTATTTTCTGTTTTCATTATGACTTTAGTACCCTGGTGTGGCAGAAAGACCATTAAAGCGGAAGTCAGGAGTCTTAGATCCTAGGCCTGTTTTTGTGGTTTTGAAAGGCTTCACATTTCTGCATGAGATAAATTTTTAAGGTTATTGAGGTAGAATGGTGTCTAAGGTACTATTTAGCTATAAAACTTGTGACTCACAGTGTACTATATCACATTGGGAAAGGTAATTTCCACAAGAGTCGTCAGATTACAAAGCTTATAATTACATGAAATCATGAGTACAGGTTAATGTAAAAAGAGAGAGATACAGGAGTTTGTAGTGGACTGCATCCCCTCATTTTTTATTTGATGAGGAGATTGTCTTTGTAAACTGATACAAAGTCAGATGTTAAAATCACAAACTTTTCCCGACTTGAGTTGCACATAAACAGTGTAATGCAGTAAGTTAATATTGAAGTTTCAGATGCTTTTTGATCTTACATGCTTTTTAAAAGCCAAGCCATAGTTGGATATTCAGAATAGTTAAGTAACTTGAGTTTCTTTTACTTTTTAGGATTTAAGTGCCCCGTATGCTCAAAATTTGTACCCTCAGATGAAATGGATTTGCATCTTGTAATGTGTTTAACAAAGCCAAGAATAACCTATAACGGTAAGTCCAATGCTTTAAAATAATATTTTAAGTTAAAATTACCTTACATTTTATGAATTTCATGTTTTGAGCATAATTTAGAAGGAGGGAAGGATGTTGTTTTCTATTTTTACCAGCACACTAATGCAGTGGTTCTCAAACTCAGTGATCTCAAGATTTCTTAACCCTTCAAAAGATTATTGAGGACCTCAGTTTTTCTTTACATGGGTTACATCTGTCAATATTTGTCATATTAGAAATTAAAAGAATTTAAATTTTTTAATTTATTTCATTAAACATAAATATAATTATACTGACAACTTTTAAATGAAAAGCAAATTTTCTAAGCCAAAAATATTTAGTGACAGGAGTGGCATTTTCTGTATTTTTACAAACTCTTTAGTATCTGGCTTGAGGACGAGGAATTCTCACATGTGCTTCTTCATTCAGTTTATTGTGATATGACACATCTTGTGTCCTCTGGAAAACTCTACTGCTATACTGGTGAGAATGGGAATGAAAAAGGCACATACGGCTGGGCATGGTGGCTCATGCCTGTAATCTCAGCACTTTGGGAGGCCGAGGTGGGTAGATCACTTGAGGTCCAGAATTTGAGACCAGCCTGGCCAACATGGCGAAACCCATCTCTACTAAAAAGAAGCAGAAGATTAGCCGGCTGTGGTGATGCATGCCTTTAATCCCAGCTACTCAGGAGACTGACACAGGAGAATCACTTCAACCTAGTAGGTGGAGGTTGCAGTGAGCCGAGATCACACTACTGCACTCCACACTCGGAGACAGAGTGAGATGCGGTTTCCAAAAAAAAAAAAGGCAGATGCTGTTTTAGTGTTACCATGAAAATAGTTTTTACTTTGTTAATTTAAAAGGATTTCAAAGGCTCTTCTACTCTTCCTACTCTACAAGAGTCTTTGGACCACACTTTGAGAACTGCTGCATTAAAATAAAATCTTTTGGGTTAAGTGTAAGTAAAAAGTAATGTTTGTAATGGCCATTTTCAGAAGTAAGCAAGCATGGTTGAAACTGCAGCTTGTTTCTTTTTATCTAAGAGTATAGAGTAAATGAAGGGAACATATTTAGGAGTAGGAAGGATAAAAGTTTATTCAATAAATAGAGTAAATAGATGGATAATGGGAGAAAAAATCTTTAAGAGAAACCCAAAACTACCTATGCTGTGCATATCTGTCTCTGTCTTAACTCCCATAATTGTTTATGTTTAATATGAATGCCTTTAAATTCAGTCTATGAGCCCTGGAAGCTAACTGGTGTTTTTGTGAGGGCTAGTCCTTTAGACTGTACCATTCTTTTCTGAGCAAAATCTCTAGATATTCCAAAACCTAAAAAAAGATGGTAATGTAGTCTTGGCATACTTTAGAATAGACTTGGGGGTGAAAAGTCAAGTAGTTCTGTCCTGACTAATGAGTAGAATAAAATAAAGGAAAAACGTATGTTTTTTTTTCCCTAAAATTTTATAGGGAAACAGACTTCAAAAGCTTAAGAGAAATTTTGTTTTTTTAAGATGTAAATTTTGGTTTGAAACAAAATGTGTAGAAAGGGTACCAGTAAACAGTATAGCCAATTGAAAGATTGGCTAAATTCAGTATATATTTTGAGCATCTATTAGGTACGACGTACTGTGTTAGGAATTAGAGATATTCTAGTGAATGAACAGAAATGGGGCTTAGAGCCTACTAATAATAGTCACTGTTCTCTGAGCTAAGAATTATTGGTTAAATAAAAGTGTTCTGTGAAAAACGTAGTAGATATAGTAGCACTTATCTGAGATTTCTACTCAGGTAAGAAAAATGTTTGGAGGGAGAGAATTTAACATTGAAATGAGCATATTACTTTGGATAGTGTTTTGCAAGTTGTTTTAGGAGTCAGTTTCTCAATTCTTCCCTCTCTTTCAGCCTCTAGTATTGGTGGTGCTTCAGCCATACTATTACAGTGGTGACAGTAGACACTTTTTCCCATTCATTTGCTGATGAAATGTGAAAGTGGCTTTTAGCAATTACTTGGCATAGTAAATGTATCTGTTGATTATATCCTAACAGATTTGCATTATGAAATTAATTGGCTACTTTGCATTATCTACTTGAAGTTCATTCATTTAGGAAGTAGAAAGCATTCTCATTCAAAATTCAGAATTTGAGACTAAAAGTGTTTAGGTTTGTTTTTCATGTTTGCTCCACTGTCTTATCATTATACTCCGTAATTGTTTATGTTTAATATGAGTGCCTTTAAATATCAATAAATTGTAAACCTCTGGCTTTCAATTTGAAAATTGCAAATATGTTTGACCACGTAATAATATATTTACACACAGTCTTAGTATTCTGTACATTTACTTTTTGTGTAATATATCTAGAATACAGACTTCGTGTATATTGTGATATTTAACAATTTTTTTAAGTTTTAAGTTCAGGGGTACATGTGCAGGTTTGTTATATAGGTAAACTTGTGTCACGGAGGTTTGTTTTACAGATACTTTGTCACTCAGGTATTAAGCCTAGGACTCATTAGTTATTTTTTCTGATCTTCTCCTTCCTCCAACTCTCCACCCTCTGTTGGCTCCAGTGTATGTTGTTCCCCTCTATATGTCCATGTGTTCTCATCATTTAGCTCCCACTTATAAGTGAGAACATGTGGAATTTGCTTTTCTGTTCCTGCGTGAGTTTGCTGAGGATAATGGCCTCCAGTTCCATCCATGTTTCCACATAGGACATACTCTCTTTCTTTTTTATGGCTGTGTAGTATTCACATGGTGCATTTTAACTCACATTTTCTTTATCCAGCCTGTCATTGGTGGGCATTTAGGTTGATCCATGTCTTTGCTCTTGTGAACAGTGCTGCAGTGAACATAATGCATGCATGTCTCTTACAACAAAATGATTTATATTCCTTTGGGTATATACCCAGTAGTGGGATTGATGAGTCAGACGGTATTTCTGTCATTAGGTCTTTGAGGAATTGCCACACTGTCTTCCACAATGGTTGAACTCCCACCAACAACAGTGTGTGTTAAGTGTTCCTTTTTCTCTACATCCTCTCCAAGATGTATTATTTTTTGACTTTTTAATAACAGCCATTCTGACATTTGAAATGGTATCTCTTTGTGATTTAGATTTGCATTTCTCTAATGGATCAGTGATGTTGAGCTTTTTTTCATATGATTCTTGGCCATATTTATGTCTTCTTTTGAAAAGTGTTCATCTCCTTTGCCCACTTTTTCATGGGGTTGTTTGCTTTTTTCCTTGTAATTTTAAGTTTCTTATACATGCTGGATATTAAACAAACCTTTGTCAGATGCATAGTTTGCACAATTTTTCTCCTATTCTGTAGGTTGTCTGTTCACTTTGTTGACAGTTTCCTTTGCTGTGCAGAAGCTCTTTAATAAGATCCCATTTGTCAATTTTTGCTTTTGTTGCAATTGGTTTTGGTGGCTTTCTCATGAAATCTTTGCCTGTTCCTATGTCTACAAGGGTATTGCATAAGTTGTCTTCCAAGGTTTGTATAGTTTTGGATTTTACACTTAGGTATTTAATTCATCTTGAGTTAATTTTTGTATATGGTTTAAGGAAGTAGGGCGGGGGGTCCAGTTTCAACCTTCTGCTTACGGCTAGCCAGTTATCCCAGCATCATTTATTGAATAGGGAATCCTTTCCCCATTGCTTGTTTTTGGTTAGGTTTGGATATTTGACAGTTTTTTTAATTTCCTGATTTAACTGTGTCTAAATCATTAAACTTTTCTGCTAGATCACTTGTTTGGTGTCTTAAGAACTAGTATAACTAATATGTAACCTTCTGCTTGGGGATACTGTAACAACCAAAGATTTTGAGTTTTAAATATTTGACAGTATTTCAATCTAGAAATTAGTAAATGTCATTCAAAAAGTTAATCAAGTTGTAGCCATTCTTAAAGTTGTTGACTGAAATCTTTGAAAAATTATTATTATTATTATTATTATTTTAGAGTCAGGGTCTTGCCGTGTTGCCCGGGCTAGAGCTCAGTAGCTATTTATAGGCACGGTAATGGCATCCTATAGCCTCAAACTCATGGGCACAAGTGATCTTCCTACCTCAGCCTCCCAAGTAGCTAGGACTACAGGTACGTGCCACAATGCCTGGCTTCTTTTATTTTTTATTTTGTGGAGATAAAAATTCAAAGTGTATATTAACTGTATAAACATTCACAGCAAGAAGCAAATACAACCTCTTAATAAAAATTGTATATAGTTTTTGAGGTTTTAAAATGAGCCGTTGGACAGTGGCCAGTTATGAGTAAGTGAAGGAGAAGGAAGTTTTGCCTGGGCAGATGTGAGGGTTACAGAGAGGTGGCAGATTAATAATGACTTTCCTATCATCGGCAAGGAGAATTCTAATACCACCTTGTTTTAAAGGCAGAACCCTCCCCCCTCCCTACCAACAGTTCTATCACAGGTGATGAGTCCAAATGAAAATCGGCTTCTTTAATACCTAGGCAAACAATCTAGGATTGTTATAAAGCAGAGCAAGGTAAAGTCAGAGAGTCGCTAAAACTGAATCTTTTTAGTCAGTTGGATTCCTCTCAATTTTATATTTGAATTCCTACATGTTGATTCTGTAGAGAGATGCATCAGATATATTGGGCCTCTAAACTGTGTTAGTGCTCAAACAAGAACATTTTTTTTCAACATAGTGCTCATTTAACTTACACTTTTTTAGCCTTTTCCAGAGTAGCTAGATCTGAAATTTTGAAATTTGTTTGTTAAGTGAATGTTAATTTAACTGTCTATAAACATTCATAGTTAGCAAGAAGAATAGTGGCTTGTTTTCTTCAGGCTGGATATAAATCATATAGATAAGCTCCCGAATTGGATGAGTTCCAGAAATTCGAATATAAATTGATGATTTAGAGTTTCAGACACTTTCTCACAGAGATAATATTTGAAATATTGGTCTGTTTTACAGACTAGCTCACCAAAACCTTCTTATTTTTTTAAGTGCACAATATACCTGAACAC